CTCGCCGCCGCCTCCCCCGATTCCCGCGCCTCCAGCTCCTCCTCGAAAGAGGTACGACTCTCCTCGCCGTTACCTCCTGGTTGTTGATAGGGGATTAAATCTTTCGTGTTGGTCGACAGGGACCGGGATCGGGAACGTCGAGGGAGGGCGGCGCCGGATCGGGATCGAGAAAGGTCGCGGAAGACAAGTTCGCGCCGAGGTTCGACGGGCTCAGGTTCATCGAGACGCTGGTGACGGCGCATCGGTGACTCCGCGGTCCTCTTTCTCGATGCTCGTCCCTCTTCTCCCAACGGAGGGATGGAATCTGATTTCTACGGCAGGGGCCGTTTCTTGCCCTCTTTTTGGGTATGATTCGGTAGCGTGAGATTGCTACAAGTTTTGTTACGCCGTCTTTGGTGATGTCATTCGAATTTTGAACTTGGTAATGTCTTTGGGTGATTTTTGTAAACCGATCCAAGCAAAAACCAATTAATTTTGCTAGTTTATGCCACCGATAGAAAGAAGTAAGTTTTGATATCTCCAATCAGATCATCGAGTAGTTTTATCTTGCAATTTGATGTGTTCTATTAACCGGTCGTGATGGATTCTATTAGGCCAGGAATTGAAGAAGACTAATGGCTTCAATGATTCCAAATTAAGAGATAATTGAAATCTGTATTACATCAAAAACAAATGATTGTGTTTATGGTGTGATAAATTGAGTCTTCATGATTACGATATTAATGTATGGAGCACTAATCTTGATGATATATAACTATTTCTATTCAATCTTAATCTCACACATGAGTATTTGTTAATATATAATTACTTGAACAAATGGATTTCTAGAAAGATGATTTCTAAGACCGTTCAGATTATTCGAGGAACTCAAAAAAGGAGAAGAAGAAAACGTACATGCTGAAGAGATTAATGTGCGCGTCGGGAAGGAAGAGTAGCAGCTGTATGTGCAACGCAGAAAGGGATGTGATCAAAAAGAAGAATGCAAAGTCTTTATGAGAGCCTTCTTTGTTTGGGAAGGAAGTTTGGAATATTTTGGTCCTTTTTTTTATTATTCTCAAAAAAGGAAAATATATGACTGGTGCAATTTTGTGTTGAGGACGCAAAGTCCCTACCAAAATCCTTACGGGATGCCAACACTGTGTTTAATGGTTGCCCGCTTATGCATATCTTAAAATCTTCATCTCCCCTTCAGAATTCTTGAGCGTTTTTAAGGTAGGATGGCTTACAAAAATGTTTGGGAGAATCAATGTTGTAAGATCATATCATTAGAAATATGAGCAAGATCATCAGATATTGCTTTTGGAATGACCAGGCTGACCATAACGATAACTAGCACAAGGAGTTGATCTATGCTCCTAAGATGCACTTGAGGGGAACACCATATCAGAGCATACAACAAAGAGCATATACTTCTTTATTTCTCGAGTGATATGATTTATTTGACTTCGTCATCGAGGATGCCGAAGGCAAAGATCATTCTTGAAAGAGAGGCTCCTCGCTCAAACTCATCGACTCTCGTAGCAGAAGCTTTCGCCATGCTGATGGGACTCAACCACGTTGAACGCCTTAACCTGCATCAATTGGGAATCCGGTCGGACTTCCTTCGACTTAACAACTTACTCATCTCTAACTCCCTAACTCACTACAGTCTTCGTATCATTCTCTTTGACGTTTTATTTTCCTTTCACTTCTAAGTTGAATGTTATCCACTGTTGGTAAACTTTTATGTCAGAAGTGTTAGCTCGGCTTAGTCCAATCTCGGATGTACAAAGTTGCCCACGCAAAAGCTCATACGCTAGAAGTGAGCATTGGGTCGGGTTGAGTTCGAGCCTCATCTCCCAAGTGCAGTCTTACTTTTGGCGAGTTGCCTGTTTTTTCGTTACTTAGCTCCTACACATAGGCCGAGATCGGGGAGAGGATTTTCCAACTCGACTCCTTTGAAGTTTAAGTTAGTGTTGAATGGAGTAAGAAAGAGTTGAATGCTTAAAGTCCTCCTCCTGACGTTGGTCAAAGGGTTAGCTTTCATACCTGCGAAGAGAGGTCGATCGTACATGGCCCGTTGATGGTTGTTGACTTCTCCGACGATTGGCGTGTATCTTGCGGACGGGCATCGATCGACTCTACGGACCCATACCATGTGGCGTCGTTTCAAGCTTTCTGGAATGACTCTACGGTGTTCAACGCCGACCTATACGGACCCGCACTGTGTGGAGCCATTTCGAGCTTTCCGGAACGACTCTACTATGTGCAGCGTCGAATTTTACGATCATGAACAACGCGAGGGTGTGTGATCGAACCCCTCGGGTCCGCGGTGTCGTGTTGTGTCAGCCTAGAGCTCCTTCGTTGGTGTTGTCGTGGTCACCGATTGCTGCCACGTCGTGGTCATCTATTTTTTGATCATCCTTGGAGGACAATGGTCCCTCGTAATCCTCGTTAATCTAATATAAGTTTCCTTGCTTTAGAAAAAAAGAAAAGTGATGGATATATGTGGATTAGCAAAGCTATATGGTCGAATGCCCAACGTACAAATCTTTTGTTGATGCCCTGACTTAATGTAAGTTATAATATATAGTAGTACATGCATTAGATTTATGTAAACTCAAAATAAGTCCTTGAGACTAAATTGAGACGGAATCGATACACAATGCGTAATAATGATTCAAGTCCAAAACTCAATATAGTAGGACGATCGATATCTATTGGACAATTAAGTATACTCACAGGAAAAATTATCAAGTAAAATGAAAAAAAAAAAAGACAAATAGTTTTCTGAAACTTACATGTATCTCTTGCTAACAGACCAAAGCATTCACTTCACAGGTTTCTGACAACGCAATGGGAGCTTCCTGCGTCGAGAGGACTTGCATAGAATGTGAAACGCTCGATATCTTTCTCTGTCACAGCCCCCTCCGTACTGTCGCTGGCAAAAAGGAAGTCCAGCTTTCCATCTCTACCTCTCCACCTAAATCAGACTTACTCTACTGCTCTTCTAACGTTACCCTTCTCTTTCTCTCTGCCGTCGCTCACCGTTCGCTCACGCACGCCTGCCCGCCCACTTACTTTATTTGTCCTTGACGCTTGACGCTTCCACGCCACAGACAACGCGATGATGGCCTTGCATTGTTCCAAGCTGGCGCTGTTCATTACCCTCCTCGTCGACCTGGCGGCGCCCTCCGCCGCCACCTCCGCCTCCCTGGTGGGCGTCAACTACGGGCGGGTGGCCGACAACCTGCCCCCTCCCGAGTCGGTCCCTCGCCTCCTCGCTTCCATCGGCGTCGGTCGCGTCCGCCTCTACGACGCCGAGCCCGCCGTCCTCCACGCCTTCGCCAACACCGGCGTCGAGCTCGTCGTCGGCCTCCCTGACCGCTGCCTTCCCGCCGTGGCCACCGATCAGGCTGAGGCACTCGAGTGGACCGGCGCCCACGTGCTGGCCTTCCTCCCTGCCGCCAAAATCGTCGCCGTCACCGTCGGCAACGAGGTCCTTACCGGCGTCAACGCCGCCTCCCTGGCCCGCTGCCTCGTTCCGGCGATGGAGAACCTCCACGCTGCCCTCGCTGCGCTCGGGCTCGACCGCGACGTCGCCGTTACCTCCGCCCACTCCCTCGCCATCCTCGCCACACCGTCTTTCCCGCCCTCCGGCGCCACATTTCGGCCGGACCTCCTCCCTTACGTCCGCGACATCCTCAACTTCCACGCCCGCACCGGCTCACCTCTCTTCGTCAACGCTTACCCCTACTTCGCCTACGCTGAGGACCCTTCTCGCATCGCGCTCGACTACGCCCTCCTCGACCCAGGGGCGGCTGGTTTCACCGACCCGGGTACCGGCCTGCGCTACACCAACCTACTGTACGCCCAGGTCGACGCCATGTATCATGCCATCGCGTCGGCGTCCAAGGGCGGCGGGGTGGAGGTGCGGGTGTCGGAGACGGGGTGGCCGTCCGCGGGCGACGCCAACGAGACGGGGGCGACGTCAGAGAACGCGGCGCAGTACAATGGCAACCTGATGCGACTCGTAGCGCAGCAGAAGGGCACGCCGCTGGTACCCGGGACGCCGCTCCGGGCCTACGTCTTCGCCCTCTTCAACGAGAACCAGAAGGCGGGACCGTCCTCGGAGCGCAACTTCGGCCTCTTCAAGCCGGACGGCACCCCGACGTACCAGCTTTCCGGCGTCCCAGTTCACCAGGACGGCAATTCCACCGCCGCCTCGGGCGCGGGCCAGGGCACGACGGCGGGGCCGAGCGGGGAGTCCGGGTACTTCAGCATTTCCGGCGCATCGGCAGTAAGTTCACCTGATCATCCATTTTTCTTGATGTTGACTAATTACCTCGAGCCGGAATTACAATTAACGAGGCTGCCACCAGAATTGGCGGCGGTGATCGCACTAGAAATTGTGCTCTTGAGAATACTTTGAGAGCTCGACACCATCACTAATGGAAAAGGGAGCTCGGAAGATATCTAAGATGAGAGTAAAAAAAGAAAGAAGATAAAGGCTGTATGGTTAGTAATTTGTAGTTGCCGTTACTTCTTCTATCAGTATACTGATGGTTTGTGTTGGGAGAATAGGAGAGAGGGAGAGAGAGAGAGAGGAGGTGTTGGTAAGTTGTGAGCTCCTCAAGCTGTGGCATACAATCATCTTTTCCTCGCCGGTTGCAGTTTGCATTGCTAACATTTGGGGGGTGCTCGGCGAGTGGGAAGTGATTGGAAGGTGGGACGTGGATGACGCGACGTCTCGGAACGACGTGCTTTTTGGATGCACCATCCCCAACTACCTAGTTCTTCACGTACATCATTTTAATGGGCTGCTCCGATGGCTTGCACTGGGGCTGCTTTCAGATTCAAGTAGAGCCCGTTGGGGTCTTTCTACCCTAATCACGCTGCAGGGAACCGCCAACAGTTCCATTCATCCACAAATAAAATGTCTTCAATTCGAAAAGTTAAATCAGTTTATATTATGGATTAAATTTAATATATCTATAAATAAACAGAATCAGAAGATCAAGTACACACATCAAATCTAACAGTACTTCAAATTATTGAAAATAAGATGAGCAAGAGCTTCGATCGTCCACCTGGTACAGGCATCACAGTAAAAGAGCACCACTCTCCACAAAAGCTTCGCACAGATCCTAAGACCAGCATTTATTACACATCAGCTTCTGGATCTACGGCTTCAGGTACACTTTGGCGGGCGGAAAGCTCGGGTGTCCCTTCTTGTACTTGTGCCAGTGAGAGAGAGGGGGCCAGCTAGGGAAATGAGGGAGTGGCTTCTTGTAGATCGGAGGGAAGGAGATCTTGGGGTGCGAATGGAAGAAAGGTGGGAGCTTCGGAATGGGAGGCATTGGCTTCTTGTATATGGGATGATAGGGGTGCTTGTAGTACGGCGTCGGAGTCGGCTTGTAGACCGGAGCAGGCGGTGGTTTATAGTACCCACCTGATGGTGGCTTGTATTCCGGTGTAGGCGGCTTGTAGACGGGGGCAGGCGGTTTATAATATCCCCCTGATGGTGGCTTGTGGACCTGAGCAGGTGGGTTGTAATACGATCCTCCCGGTGACGGGGGCTTCTGAGTAGGCGGACTGTAGGTCGGCACCGGAGGCTTGTAGATCGAGTGGTGGTGCTTGTGGTCGTAGTAAGGCTTGGGTGGGAATTTAAAGGGAGGCAGGTGAAATTTGGGGAAGGCCTTGTGCCAAGGGTCCTTGTACGGCGGCCAGAAGGTAGCTGACGCGCACGTCGCCGACGAGAACGATAGCTTCCCGGCCGCTGCAGTGAAGGTGTGCTTCCCTTTCTCCCTGGACTTCAGGATCAACTTAGAAAAAGGGTTCAGCCCATTCTTGTCGGGGCAAGGTGCGTTGGAGGCACTGTGCAGCTGCGCGAGGCATTCGTGCTTCAGCTCGCCGTTGTCCTGGAGAAGCTCGGTCGGGAGCTTCACGTTGAAGCTTCCGTTGCTGTCGAGGTCACCTGTGGCTTTGATCTCATATTTCTCGTTGCCGTCTCTGCACTTGATGGCCACACGCAGCCCTGCTTGATGAAGAAAAGAAAGCGTCATAATGCACTACATTCTATTAAGCATCAAGAAAACTATTTTAGCTCAAGTGTATATCAAATGTCCTAATCGAGCCTTGGACGACTAAGACTAAGAATTTTCAGATAGGAGACAAAAGAAGGAAGTGGAATATACTACCTTTGACTGCGTTCTCATGTTTTATGCTCTTGCGCTCACAGTCTAAGCATTCGGTTGCACCGACGACGGTGACCGATGTTTCAGTCTGTGTTGCAGCACGGGAGAATCTGAGCATCAGCAGTACTGCACATAACCCAAGCAACATGCTTCTCGGACGCGGAGGAGTCCCCATTACGGAACTAATCCGCAGCAGGGAAGAAGCTTTTATCTTCCAATGTTTTGGATCGTGAAGAACCCTACGTGCCAATATATACGACGGAGCTGTGCGCTCTGCCCGACACGGTGTTAAAAGCAGTCACATGTAAAGAGGCCCCCGGGGGTGCAATCGGGGAAGCCTCAATTGCCACCGGTTTTACAGTTCCGGCTATTAAATGCGCCAGCGACTCATCTCCATGACCGATCCATCCATCCATCTCTGTAGACCTGCCTCCTCCTCCTCTCATAAATAAAAATCCGCTTTTGTTCCTGGGATAAATCCTAACATCCTAACTGAGGAAATGATCACAAATGTATATATACTTGCACAACACTTAACTCTACAACATCGGAAAGGTGTCAGTGGCTACTCCTAGAGATTGACAAGCAGGTGGGTTCTGCAAATGTAATTGCTGTCGTTGTGCCTGCTGTAGTACGTGGAATTTACTGGACTCCATCGATTCGTGTCAGAGGAGTTCTTGAAGATATCTGTTGCACAACAAGTGCCAGAGTAGATCGGTGCCATCTACTGTCGACTTATTCTAAGTTTACGACGATGAACACAGATGAATGAACGTGCAAAAGCCACTGCACCTATGTAAATCAGTCAGCTGCTGGAAGTAGATTCGAAGCAAAGAACTATGATCTGTAGAAGGAAGTAGTTAGATCTTATATCTAAGATGGTGAAAGCAGTAGACTATTTACAGTATGAATCCGATTCACAGCAAACTTGATGAAGCAACAGCTCATCGATAGAGACTTGCCCAAGCTGTATGACATCATACATATCATGAAGAAAGGAAGTGACAGATTTGATCTGCGCGCAACTACTCGCCAACTAAGTGGGTTTGTATAAAATAAATGCGTGACACGTTGCTCGCCATTGTGGAACTGCAGCAGAGAAGGTTTGGGGAATCATAATATGATTGATCCCTTTACAGAGCTAATACATGTGAGATCGCTTTCAGAGCTACATTAATGCTGTCACTGTGAGGCATTCTCCCATCCATCCCTCTCGTTGGTGCAACCGGAAACATAATTTAGGTGATCAAAGAGTAGGTTTGATGCTCGATAAGATTGTATGTTGCAGTCGTTCTCAAAATCATTACAAAAAATGCTATCGAAATCCCGGTCTCACCGAATCAATGACATCACAGATTAAATGATCAGTAGAATAACTGCGTTTCTCCCAACTGTTTCCGCAGGCAAATCAAAGTCCAGCATGAATGATTACCACCTTCGTCGACCTCTTCTTCGTTCACGTTCATTTCTATCACCAACATAACATCTGGGCATGTTGATTACTGTGAGCATTCGCTGTGAGAGTCTAAATTTTGTTTTTGTGCGGCCAATGGCTGCAACCTTTAATATCATAAGCTCTGTTGTTTACTGTTGGTGAACAAATGTATCGTGGCTGGTGAGTCAGCATGGCTCGATCCACGGGTCGATGTCGGGAGTCTTCTGCCGACTGAGTTGGATGTCGAGGTAGGCCGGGACCTCGCGACAGGATGTTGATCGGCGTCTCTCGATCCGGGCGTCGTCTGTGTCGAGTAGTATCTGTCCGTTCTCGGGCTGGTTGGCAGCTCGCCTTAGTTCACTAGATGGCGATTCTCAAGTCGAGACGCTTGCGGCTCGGGGGTGGCCGCTTGCCTGCAAAAATAACCTTTATCGGGTGATTCCCAACTTTGGCCCCTTCGACGAGCAAGTCAATTATGGGTTGAATTGTTTTTGCCCTCTCTCTGACCGGATGCCGGCCATGAGCTTTTATACTATTGTATGAGGGTCGATCATACGCGGGTTGGCATGGTGGTATGCGGGTTGGCATGGTGGATATATCAAACAGCGCCTTGGTACGAATTCTGACTTGGCGTGTGGGGGTGCTCCCCTTGTTGATTCTCGAGTTGGTATGATGGTACATGGGTTGGCGTGGTAGACGTGCCGAGCAGCACCTTGGTACGGTCTCTGACTCGGCATGTGGAGGTACTCCTTTGCTGATTTGGCTATAGCACGGCGTGGCATCGGCTGTGACGTATCTTGAACCAAAAATATACCTTATTAGTCAATCTACCAATCTAAAAATTTCAATTAATTCAGGTTGCAACAGATGTCCAGAAGTGAAAACTCGAGTATGGCTCCTCAAAGAATTAAAAGCAGACTTTATCGGTCATTGATTTATTTCAACCTGATCTTCGATACTAAACTAGACATGCATTCTCGAAGGATAAAGAATTCTTCCTGTTCCTCATTAACTGAAAAAAAAAAAATCTTCTTTGGCCGTCGCATTACGATTGTCCCTTTTATTATAACGTCACATCCATTCTTTAAATTTATTAGTTTCAAAAAATTTAACACTATTTTTAAAACTATATTCTTACAAATTCATGATTTTTATATTTATTCTTTTAAATTTAAGTTTTCAATGAAAGTATCAAAGAGTATTTTAGGTATATTATACTTTAAACATTGGTCTGATCTGATAGAAGATAAGATTTCCCCACTATATGAGGAAATCTTATCTATTCTGTGAGGAAAATCCTCTATTCTGTTGAGGAAAATCCTCCCTCTTAATCCTATAAATAGGAGAGGAACATGTTAATATATTCAAGCTAAAGTTTATTTACTTCAATAAAGCTTCTTATATTATATTGTTCTTATCTTCTATTATTTCTATCATGATCATCGCATACCATATCCTCTTACTAAAAGATATAAGTAGTATATCAAACCCTATAACCAAGTTTGAGGGTTAAAATTTTCATTTGATATATTTTTTATACTTTAAACATTGATCTGATTATTGTGTACGATATATTTTTACCAAAGGTTAAGAGTTCGAAATCTCATCCAAAATATTTTTCGTCTTAAATATTGATCCAATGATAATGCACTCGAGCTTCTTACTAAAAGTTAAGGATTTACATTTTTAAATAGTTTTATCTTCACATATGTGTTAATTGATACATTGTTATTTAGCTGAAAACTCGTACTGCATCACTTCTTTCACTATCTTCCAGACTCTTTGTCGAGCTATTTACTGAATAAAACTGATAAAAAGAATTGTTATTTTATTTGGCTTTAGAAATTGTTAAATATTTTTAATAATAATGAAATCTATTACCTCAGTATAATTTGCTACTATCCATATTATATATATATATATATATATATATATATATATATATATATATGATTTTTTACTTGAGAAATAATGTTATTTTTTGCAATAATGATAAAATCACATTCAAAGCAAGTTCGAAACGGGTGTCACTGGCAACCGAAAATGCTTTCCGATAACGATTATAGATCAAATGCTGTAAGAAATAATTATATGGGTAATTTCTCTGAAATATATATATTTTAAATTAATTTTTAGTGTATTTCATTTCGTATATTTTTTCTTTAATATCATAAATGCATCTCACCACCTCCTCCTTTGCCTTGTTATAATTGCCTCCTCCTCGTTGTGTCATGAGGTCCCGTCATCTCTCATCGAAGTCTATCATGGTATGGATCAATAGTAGTCGTGAACTATTTTAGGCCGAGGTGAACGATGTCACCATTTAGAACCACAATGACTCGACCAAGGAGAGCCCGAACCTAATGACACATGTGCAATAGCATGCAACCTGGCCTCCAATATGCAACACTTCTTTGATGACCTTTAGGCCAAGTCTCTATTATCGGAATTCTCCATAAGATCCAACACTTCTTAACTATCTCGGTTATAGTGCTTGTCGCACGATTAACACCTCCATATTCCCCAAGAACTCTATCAGTTGTGACGAATGTAGGTGCTAGTCTATATTGCTCAAGGAAAGGTCAGGGTCACCCAAGATATCTTGCATCGTAAAGACAACAAAACTACAAGGCGAAAGCGACATGGTAGAGGAGGTGGTGAAGGACATTTAGGATATAAAAAAATTAAATAAAAATACTTGGGACACCAAAAAACCCAAAAAAAAAAAAAAGTCTTTCAAGAAAATTATCTATTATAATTGTGGTTGTCTAGATGCCTACATATACATATTATAGATTTATTTTCTATAAATCAATTAACATAATGTGATTGATTAGGAGCTTAGACAATCACTAAGATTCTTTAGAGAGGGTAAAAAAAAAAGTTCTTTGAGATTTGTGTAAAAGGGTCTGTAATGAAATATATATTTAGTGGGGATAACTAAAAGTCTTATAATTAATTTGAAGAATTTAATTTCTTTCATGAATATAAGTGAAATTTATTGAATAACGGTAATCTTATATTTTTTATATATACTTTCGATTATTAATCTTAGATTTTTTTAAAATTTAGAATTCTCCTCGGTGCATATAATAAATTATACACAAATGAAGACCGACAAGATGACATCAATTTTTAATTAATGTTTATTTAAAGGTTTATCCTTAATTAGAGTTAGAATTAAATAGGAATTTTTATTTGTTAATCAAAATCTAAGGGCATCTATATATCATCAAGCAAAGATGTAAAAATTTAATGTTAAGATTAAAATTAAGTATCGTAATCCAAGGCTACATATCATTTAAACATAATAATCAATGGAGTATCTGTCGTGAAATAACGCATCATGATCTACATACATAATCTATAAACAAAGTAAAACTAGATTTTTTTTCTCTCCTCTTTTTATTTTTAAAATTATTGTAATTGATAAAGTAAAAAAAATTATCTAGAAATAAGAGGAGAAATCTATGTGACCATGATATGATCAAAGTAATTGACTATATATGGGCGATAACAGAGATTTTAGGAAATATAATTAAGAGAGTAATCTTTTAAGGTACTGTAACATGAATTTTCTTCCTATTGATCATTAGAATCCAATTTAAATCTTAGTATATCTTAATCATTTAATTAGCATATTAAAATCTAATAAGACTAGAACGGAGCAACCCAATTCAAAGGAGATAGAGAGAGAGAGAGAGAGAGAGGTGCAGTGGAGAAAAAAGTGCGTTGCTTGTGTTTTCTCCCGGCTATAAACGTTTTCTGTGATTTGGTTCCTTAATTCCCTCTTCTTCTTCTCTCCTCTTTGAATTCATCTCTCATCCTCCTCCACACACGTCATATGAATCACAGAAACCTCTAATCACTGTCTTAGTTACTGGCTGCAGCTTCTCCACAAGTCTTTTTCCTGGGTGCATATATCTTCTGAATAGGTGGCCACACCATTTGTTGATTCGTATTGCTGATCTCTATTCACGCATAAGACATCCGCGGCGACTGCAATTCCAGTGAAGGAAGGGATACTTACTTTCCAAGCCTCTCCCGATCTCCCTGAAGCCATCGGATCCGCTGTCATGCTATCTCCGCACCCTCTACCCTCTTCCCAGTTCCTTGGCCCCCGCGTCGCCCCTCCGCCCCGCCAGGTCGCCGCTGCCATCCTCTCCCCAAGGTCTCCACCCGTCGCCGCTGTCCTCCGTTCCCCGGGCGTCTCCAACCCGTCCCTAGAAGTCCCCACCTCGCTCTACGAGGTCCTCGGCGTCCCCGCCTGGGCGAGCGGCCGGGAGATCAAGGCGGCGTATCGTGGGCTCGCGCTGAAGTGCCACCCGGACGTCGGCGCATCCGCGGAAGAATTCATGCGTGTCCAAGCCGCCTACTGCACCCTCTCTGACCCCCAACAGCGCGCCGACTACGATCGCCAGCTGATGGCTTCGTCGGCGGCAGCCGCGCCGCTCGGACGCCGTTACCGTTCGACGTACTCGCGGACCGCGTCGTTCCCCGGAAACCGCCGCCGGACTTGGGAGACGGACCAGTGCTGGTAGGAGGCCGAATGTTCTGCCGCGACGTTAGTGGCCGTCAGATCGACTACTGTGAAATTGTCAAGGCCACAGCAGACTGACTTCTCCTACCTTAATTTTGATTTTTCATTTTTTTGGCCAAAACAGTAATATATATATATATATATATATATAATATAATATGCAGAAGTGTAGTTTTACAAATATGTAATAGTAATTTAAATATTATGAATTAATAGAAGGAAGGAAAAAA